TTTAACGGTTGATGTTGAAAAAGTTGGGAAAACTGAAATTCAACTTTCATAAACTTAAAATGAGCTTCTTTTTTTAAATAGGAGGAGAAAAAACATCAAATGTCTCAGTTTTAACGGTTTATGTTATTTTAAATGTATTGGACAGCGTTACACGTCTTCCCCTTCAGTTTTAAACGTTGGCTTCTGTGAAATGGAGGCTGTGATGCGTTAAAGAGCCAACGTTCAGACACCAGCTAAGAGGAATCTCCATTCCTGCAGACGGACTCTGCCGGTCGAACACTCAGGGGATCAGAAACTAATGTCCTCACATTACTTGAAGCCTTAAGCTCCTGTGCGCTTCTCAGAGTGCGCACAGACAAAGACCTCCATCACACCGACGCGATGCCAAAGCCGCATCTTAAACCGAGTATTTTCAGAACAAAAATAAACATATTTAGTCAAAGATTAACCTTTAATATATTTTCTTTGTACCCATCCAACCAAAAAGAATAAAATTTAACCCTTGTTGTAATTGTGTGTGTCGATGTGTGAAATACATTTTTATTTGCTCTACATTTTTCAGTGTTCAGGTCTCCAAAATGACCATCAATGCATGGTGATTCATTTAACTGATTAATATGGTCATTAAATAAGGAAAGAGAATGACTTTGGTGAATTACAGCAGATTATCCGACACCTAAAGGCTTCAACATGAGCGATCAATCACGTTTCAAACCTCTGCAAAGTCAGTTCACAGGCTCGTTGCCATGACAACGACCCCTTCGGGTAGACCCTCCACCTGAACGGGTTTGAACGAGCCCAGTTTGGAGTAGAAGTCGAGCATCCTCCGATCGCTCTGCCTCAACTCGCAGAACGCTCCTCTGGACCCTGAAAGATGAAAATTAATCAGCAAAAACACAAATTGGATTAAAAAAAAGTGTTGAGCTCGTTTATTTTGGGAAAATTGAAAAGCTTCATCTAATTTTGGGAGCTCTGTGCAGCATGGACATCCAGAGGTTTAAATTTAAGCTGCTTTTGGGGGCAGGAGGGAGGTCAGGAGTGAGAAGGCGCCCCCTGGTGGTGAACCCAATGATCACATTTATTAGCCTCATCTTATTTGTCCAACTTGGTCCTCCTTTCTGTGAATGCAATGGTCAGTCATGATGTTTAAATTCATACAAAGGCAGGATGGAGGCTTTCTGGAGAAGGCACAGATAAGTTTAAGTGTCAGAGGGAGGCTTGATCCAGCTAACAGGAGCAAATGTGTGCTTTGAATCAGTAGCATAAGCAGCCTTTTACCATCTCAAAAACAGCCAGAATCAGAGGAATAGAGTCTAAACCAGAGCTAGAAAGACTGGTCCAGGTGATTATCTCTAGCTGGTTGGACTACAGTAACGGCTGCTCACTGGGCTCTGATCCATCTCTGACCAGAACCAGGAAATAGGACCACATCAGTCCAGTTCAGAACCAGGAACCAGGACCACATCAGTCCAGTTCAGAACCAGGAAATAGGACCACATCAGTCCAGTTCAGAACCAGGAAACAGGACCACATCAGTCCAGTTCAGAACCAGGAAACAGGACCACATCAGTCCAGTTCTCAGGTCTCTGCTCCGGCTTCCTGTCTCTAGCACCCTTCACTTTTTATCCGTTTTTAATGTTTATAATGTTTCTGCTTTTAAATTCTCTGTGAAGCACTTTGAATTGTCTGGTCCACGAAATGTGCTACACAAATAAACTTGCCTGCCTTTATTTCACACGGAGGCAGGCAGGACTGGCATTTTCAATTAAAAGGTCAAAGGGGAGGATTGTAGGAATAAAAAAACAAACAAACAAACGTGTCTTAACTGACCGCTGCTCCTGATGGCGGACAGCAGCTGGCCGATCATCCGTTTGGCCGGAGACGGATCGGAGACCCGGGGAAGCACCCGAACATCAACCAGCGACGGGAAGTCCTGGCTCAGCGTTCTCTGGAAGAAAAGGCCGGCACAGTCAGCTAAACGCTCCCGTTATGGCGGGTGTTTCTTCAATTCAATTCAATTATTTTATTTAACTCATTGACTGCCAAAGACGTCTATATAATTTCAACGAGAGTGGCTGGGGGACGATCTGCTAAAGCTTGTCCGTAAATATCAGGCTTCTAGACAGAGTATGTAGTAACAAATTGACCCTCTTTTGATGGGAGATGAGCGTAGACTGTAGGCAAATAAGAAAAAGGTAACGGTTCGCTATGAGAGAACATGTCGCCGGTGAGACGCAAGTCCAGGAATAACGGAATAAGGTAGAAACAAAACATTTTTCCTGATGAAAGAAAAGAGTCTACTCTTCTTCGGTGTTTACATAGTCATAGCCCAAACTATTCTGTGGCTCTTGAAAAATCAGTCAAAATGCTCAAAAAACTCTGGCAGTATGGGACTCTCTGTTCTGAAAATGGCTGGCAGTCAATGAGTTAATTGCACATGATCATATACATGGTTTGGAGCGCAAACAATAAATATAACAGAACAAAGTAACGCATATACAGTACATTAAAACTATAACATCATCGATATAATGGGAGGACCCATTTCAAAAAGACACCCAACTAGACCTAGAGATCCCCCACAGAAGAACAACCTTTGGACAAACCGTTCTATCAGTCAGAGGGGGTCACTTCTCCCAACAAACATCAGGGAACGTCCCACTTTTTGCACATTTAAAAAGCACCTTAAACTGTTTCTCAAAAGTTCCCAGTCATGCACTCACAAATTTTAATTTTGTAATATCATCGTCTGAACGTGTTTCTCTCTGTTTTAACTGATATTGTATTATGTGATTTTGTGTTGTTTTGTCTTCCTGCGAATTAGCAACTATGCTAGAATCTGGCTAATTTACAATCTGTATGAGATTGTTCATTAATGTGCACTGTCCTGATTAAATAAATAAATAAAAATAATTTTCTGTTATTTCCCCCCACCTGGACCTGGGCGGCGGCGGGCGTGGCGTCCGTTAGCGCCAGCGCGTAGCCGCACATCCCGGCGTCGTCCTCCAGCACCAGGGCGCACTGTGGGGGGGGGAGAAAGCCCACCTTACGCCGGGGGGGGGGGGGGGGGACAGGGTTCACACTCATAACATCATCATCCTCATTGTAGGGTATTTTCAAAAGTCTTAGTAAAAATCCGTTATAGGTTGGAGCTTTGTGGCTCACGCGTGTTCTAGGATCCATATATACTTCCTAAACTTTCACAAATCTAAATCTAAAGTTACAAAACGAGCACGTCACGAGCATAACATGGTCAGAAAACCGTGAGGCACCAACCTTCCTCCTGCCTTTGTGTTAATTTCACAAAGGCAACCTTACTGGGCACCTGGCGCATAATTACCACGTCATTAAAGGCGCATTAAGTAACGTAAATATTTTAAATTCACGTTTTTAACTTGTAAATATTTTTAACTTAAATTATTAATGTCACTCATTAATTTAAATGACATGTCAAATACACATAAACAAGTAAATTCAAAATACACATAAATATACATAAATGTACATAAATGGGCATATGGCGCCTACACTCATCATCTTTATCATTATCATCATTGTGTCCATGGTTAAAATTAGTCCATTTGGTTCAAGAGTTTGTGGTTACTCCCCCTGGTGCATCATGGGAGATCAGCCACACAGTGACCTTTGACCTGCCATATGACCTGCCATCGCCACGGCGACCGACTCCTTACCCGTCGCCCATCAGAGGGACCGCCCCGCCCTCCTCGCCGCTCCGCATCTGCTCCCAGATCCGCCGAACCTCCACCTGAGAGGAGACGGGATTCAGACCGCAGTAAGCCAAGGATGGATATCCAAGTCGGCCATTTTGATTAGGTCACAATTGCTTCATGGCAATATAGACATTAATTTAAAAATAGTGAAATTAATCTTGCAAACACTATAGATAATATTATGTTACAATAGTGGATGTTAAATAGGTTTGTACAATAAGTCCAAACCAATTTAACCAATAAAATATTTATTTCTCACACTTATGAAGGGTGGAGGGTCAGGGTCAGATTTAGGATTAGGATTAGGGTTAGGGTGAGGGTCAGGGTTAGGGTTAGGGTCAGGGTCATGGTTAGGTTTAAGGTCAGGGTTAGGGTTAGGTTTAGATTTAGGGTTAGGTTTAGGTTTAGGGTCAGGTTTACGGTTGGGGTCAGGGTTAGGTTGAGGGTTAGGTTTAGGACATCTTTTCTCTTCCGATTTCGTACAGACAGTAAAGTTTTGTCTCCACCTCAGAAAGCGGCTAGTCACATGACCTAATCAAAATGGCCGACTTGGATGTGGGAGGAGTTGGATATCCAGCCGAGGATCCTCACCTCGTCCCCGGCGGCGTGAGGCCGGATGCAGTAAACCGCCGTCATGGGCGGCCGTCTGAACAGGTCCCGGTTCCCGTGTCCCGGCAGCATCCTCTGAGAGAGAAAATATAGAGAAAAATGAACAACGCAACAAAAATAAACAGTCCTATAAATGGATGAATACGGGACTTGTGACTTAGCAACAGCTATCCGTCATCCGGATACCTGGAACTAGGGTTGTCATGATACTAAAATTTTTAACTCAATGCCATTTTTGATACCACAAGGACAAAAACAAAGACCCCCAAATTTAACTGAATTTTAACAGGTTAGTGTTAGTTTCAAACTGACCTGTTACTGACGTTATCGTGGCCGGTGGCCGACATTAATGACCCTAACCCTAACCCTCCAGCCTTCATAATTGTGAGAAATATTTTTTGGTTAAACTTGTTTGGACTTATTGTACAAACCTATTTAACATCCACTATTACGTATATTTACGTATAGAGTTTAATTCAGTGTTTGCAAGTTTCACTTCACTATTTTCAAATTAATGTCTATATTGCCGTGAAGCAATTACGATTTTCTTGCCTGGGATCTTCCTAATAAAAATGGCTGACTTGGATGTGGGCGGAGTTGGATATGTACTTAATTAATGGTAGCATGTTATTGTTAGCCATTAGCCGCAGCTAGCAATTCAAGGTTAACGTCATGGTATTGATCATAAACAACGTAAATTGGTATAGATACTTTTGAAAATGAGTATCGTATCCGGATACAACATTTTAGTATCGATACTTTTTTGAGCATCGATACTTTTGGCAACCCTACCTGGAACTCTCCGGAGAGGCCCCCTCTGAAGCCCCAGGGCTCGGGGTCGTCCTCCATGAGCTGCGCTGAGGGCCGGCTCTGCCCGCCTGTGGAGGAACGGAAACCAACGACCAGCTTTAAACAGAGCAGCTCAGACTCTGAGTTATTTCCAGAAGAACAACAGTTCCACCAAGAGCAGCACTAGGAGACACAGGGAGGAAACAACTGCCTTTAGGAGGAAGAAACCTGGAGGAGGAACAGAGAGGGAGAGGGCAAGAGAGAGAGAGGGCGAGAGAGGCAGAGGTCAAGAGAGAGAGAGGGCGAGAGAGAGAGAGGGCGAGAGAGGAAGAGGGCGAGAGAGAGAGGTCAAGAGGTCAAGAGAGAGAGAGGGCG